ATCAACCTGGCAATTTGGCTTAATATATGGAAGGTGTTGAAGAATACAAATGAAGTTGAAAATAGCTTCTAAGTATCTTAAGGATTTTTCTTTTCTTTTCCTTTTTTTTTCCCCTCTGTAGTTCAGGCTTGCCCTTGAACTAACTCTGTAGTCCAGGCTGGGCTCAAATTCACAAACTCATGGGAAGCTCCTGCCTCAGCCTCCTAAGTGCTGGGATTACAGGCATGCAGTACCACGCCCAGCTGAGGCATCTGTTTTCCATACTTTTTATTTCATATGTGCATTCTCAGGGAAATCTTTTTTTTTTCCCATTTACTTCCTCTCAGTTCTGCTTTATTCATTGTCAAGGATTCTTTTATCAAGACAAATTAGAGTTTCATTATCTGTAAGGATAAATGCTTAATCTGCTCTGCTTATTTATCAGTTCTTACTATGACATACAGTTCTTTAGCATCTTCAAAAGATGGCCAGCAATCTTCAAAGCATCACCGTGGATTCTGACACTTCCCAGTTCCTTGCAGGCGTACTTCTGCTTGCCGATGCCCCATCTTTGGTTACCCAGTCCTTTTCAGTGGATGCTTTTATTTTGGACCTGGGCTAGGACTCGGAAATCTTTTTTTTTAAAGAAAGAAATGTTTCTACCTTTTGTTATCCTCTAATTCACTAGTTTGTCCTTTAATTCAATAGTTTGCTAGGTAACTACTGCATCATCATTAATAGTGCTGAGTGTAGAAGTGGTAATAAATAAAAATTATGGATGAAAACATACATAAAAAGCACCGAGCTGGGTTCGTAGACTGGGCATCTTTGGAAAGTGTATAGCTGTGGAAGTTAGGAGCTTCAAATGCTATTTCTAAGATAAAGCAAATCAAGAGAAGATAATGAATAGAGAGGGTGACTTCTGGGAATCAGGATGGCAGCGAGTAGAAGGAAAGGGCTGCAGACACGGATCAAAGAGGGGAAGACTGAGATGTGGCACAGGGCCAGGCAAGGGATTTAGGGGACAGGTGAGTTCTGGAGTCCTGTCTACAGCCAGGTACCACCACAAGACTTGCTGGAATATAGACTGACAAGGATCCTTTTGTATTTTTGTGTTGTTTTGCACAGTACCATTTACTTTGTGGCCCCGGGAACAACCAAGCACATTCCAGAGTCACCCACAGACCTTCCACCTGGGCCTACTGTTAGGGATCCCGCTGTCTCTTGATAGCACCTCCTTGGAGATCAGGCTTTAACACATTGGCCTTTGTGGGGTCTGGTACGGTTTGTGTAGAGGGATCCCCCAAAGCCTCATGCAGTCTTGGGGCAGCTTCTGAAGTTTGTGATTGATCACTGTGGGTGTGGATGCTGCACCTGCCCTGGGGCAGGTGATTTGCCTTTCGGTGTGAGGAGGAAGGAGAAGTTAGCTGCCTGAGCTGCTGCTGCTCCTCCTTTTGTGGTCTTGCTCTTTGCTGCCACCATGAAAAGTTGCTTTCTGCTATGTGCTGCTTTGCCTTGGACTCAGCAGAATATGGACTGAACCCTTCAGTAACTGAGCTAAATAAACCTTTCCTTCCTTCAATTTGGGTGTCGGGTATTTAGCCTAGCAATGAGAGAAGAGTAACTAAGACAGGGTCATCATTGTTCGAGGCTGCAGCAGGAAAGCTGTGTGTCTGGACACAAAGCAGGGTTGAGGGGAAGCTGACTACTGGGATTAGGGCGGTGCGGGACCATCCGGGCTGGCTCAGTGTGCCCTTAAGCCTAGCATTCCCCCATGAATCATTCCCGCACTCTGGATGTTTACAAAAGTAAGTGCTTTTGCTCTGCCTCACCATAGCCCCAGAGGGCGCCATGTGGTCACAGACTGGCCCTCCACAACTGTGAGCTAGAAATGAACCTTTTCTCTTCATAAGTTGATTTGTCTCTGATACTTGTTATTGTAACAGAAAGCTGAATAATGTGTTCTGTCCCCTTCTCTTCCTAGACAAGAGCTTTAAAAAGTTTCTTGGGTTGGGCTCAAGCTGCAGTTCTTCTTAGCCTCCCAGAGTGCTGCAGTCCTAGGCACGCAGCACCACGACCAGCTAGTTCTTTACTTTTGTGCAATCTGCCTAAAATTAATGTATCTCCTAAGTCAGAAATGAAGAGAGTCTTCACCTTATTGAGGAAATATATTAAGCAAGGCTCTTGGGCAGGGCTCTAGGAGGCCAAGAATGTGCGTGTGTGGGCTGAGGGTCCTTGCTTTTGTAAAACCGGCACGCTTGTTCCTTTATGTAGAAGAAAGTTCATGCAACATGCCATGGTAGCAGTTGCCTTTGTTTCTCTTGTGCAAGTGGTCGGTTGAGCATTTCAAAGATGAGGCAAGGAACCCAGAGGGTTAAAGACTGCAGCAAGGCAGCGCTGACTTCCGTTGCCAGTCCACGATCTTTCACTGCGTTATTTGAAGCTTGAGGGGCATGTGGACTTAGTCTTTTGTGAGTGCTTGGCTATTTGCAAGTAGCTTTCTTCACCACACCAGTGCAGGCTGTTTGCACAGATGTGACGTGGCCCGATTTCGAGGCCTCGAAGCCAGGCAGGGCAGCTTGTACATCTGATAGGTGTTCACAGCCATCGTTAGTTTTTCATCTGAGGAAGCGCTATCAGGAGCATCTGTTTCCTCGTGTAATTCTGCCGGGTGAGCTAAAGTAGAGGTCGTATCATCTGATGGCCCACCTCAGGCCTGAGCCAGAAGCTTCAGGGCCGAGGCTTGGTAGGCTGCTTTAGCAAGGCCTCGGGGTGAGTCTGCCGGACCCAGATTTGAGGACTGCGTACTCCTCGCAGTGGGAGTGAGGAAAGCATTCCGAGGGTGTGTCAGAATTCAGACTTAGTGTGAGTCACATCTCAGTTCATGAGATGACAGTGGCAATGGAGAGGAACAGGTGTCTCTGAGAGATGTCCGAGAGAAATCCTGTTCAGGATTAAGAGTGCAGGACACTTGGTAGCCTGATGTTCTGTGGTGTATGCGGAGGTGGCTGTTTCTTAGGGAACCACGTAGACAGGTTGAATTTCGCGTGTTTGGAGTTAGGCCCCGCTTTTACCCTGGCCCTCAAGGTGGGACAGGTGGGACATATCCTCCCAGCTGGCAGTGTGGCCAGCTGAGGTTCAGAGGTGTGGTTTGATTGGCAAGAGCACCGGTATCTGTTCACAGCCCACTTCCTGGTAATAAAGGATGTGTTGTAATCTTAGAAAGCGTGGGAGTGGAGCTAGAGATCAGGTGAGCGGGAAGACTGATGGAGGGAGGAGTGATTGGAAGTGGCGTGGGGATTTCCGAGGCAGCATAGAACTTGCTGTCACTCTCAGAACAAGGTCCATCCTCTCTGCCTCTGTGGCTTTTGCCCGTTGCAGCCCTCATTTCTCCTACTCTCAACCTTGCCTGCTGATTTCTGCTTAGACCCCCTCTGCTCCCAGCCTAGAATTCCCCCCGCTGACTCTACTGCGCAGCATGCAGGTCTTACTATTTGAAAAGCTTTCTGTAACCCCCCTCAGTCCTGTTGGTCTTCTGTTCCGGTCCTGGCCTCTGCTTCTATGCCTGACTACTCAGCCTGCCTGAGATGGTGGTTGCTGAGCTTCCTGTGCAGCTCTGTGCTGCTCTCTTCACGGGCCGGGATCCAGCGCCTTGTCTGGTGCTGTGTGGCCAGCTCCTGGACAGGTACCTGGTGTGGGTCCATAACAACTAGTGGAGTACATTCTAGGGCAGGAGAGGAGCCGAGGAGAGTGGGGATGCAGGTCTGGGCCACCGGGATGGGAAGGAAGCGGATGAATTGAGGAGCCAGGGTTCTTCTTCTTTTAATACTGGGGATTGAATCCAGGGGCAGTCAATTATTGAAATACATCCGTAGTCCTTTTAAAGTTTTGAGACAGAGTCTCACTAAATCACCCTTGCTGGCCTTGAACTACAAACCTACTGCCTTAGCCTCTAGAGTAGCTGGGATAACAGGCCTGTGCCACTGTTCCTGGCTTTCATGGTTGACTTTTACAGACTGAGATTATCGAACCTCCATGGGCTGGGTGTAGGGCAGCTGCCCTCTGCTGCTACCTTAGTAAGTGCTGAAGTTGGAATCGCAGCCTTTCTTTTTCCAGGGTGCGTGTACATACGTCCGTGGGCAGCATGCTGAGAGTGAAAGCTATAACAGCTCTTTGTACGTTTTCTTGCTCTTTAGCTCATCCTCAGCCAAGGTGGATCTCAAGAGCGGGCTGGAACAATGTGCGGTGGCGCTCAACCTATTTCTAAGTAACAAGTTCACTGATGCCCTGGAATTGCTTCGTCCATGGTAATTACTTCTTTTAGAGAATTTTTTCAGATAGTTCTTTGTGATGTCATGCTTTTAAGTTAACTTACCTGTTTCTATCTGAATTTTATAAGCTAACATGGTGGAACTGCCTTACTGTTGTTTAGCTTTAAAAGCAGTTCAGGAATGTTGTTTCAGGATCCGTGCGCTTTCCTGTGAATGGTTCACATCGATGCAGCTTGGCCGAGTAGCGCTCTGGTGCATGAGGGCCCCATTTTCTTCATCCAGGCATCTGTGGCTCGGCGTGCAGGCTGCTTCCACAGCGTAGCTAATATGTATGACATGGTGTGCATGTGTCGCTGTCACGTGACGCTTGGAGCAGATACCCAGAAGAGGTACAACCAGGCCAAGTGGGGCATCTGTTTATAGATTCTGTGGAATCTTTACACTGATTTCCATGGGAAAATGGATGGATCTGGAGACTGAGGCACTAAGTCAAACAGATCAGACACAGAAGGTTAACTGCGGCGTGGTTTCTCTTGTGTAAGAAACTCCCCGTAGAATTTAAAGTAAGGCAAGGGAGATGATAGAAAGCTGAGAGAAGGATGGTGTGATTGTGGCCGGGCATCTGAGGAAGGGGGTGGTGAGGAGGGGAAGGGAAGGAACCTGGCAGGATGTAGCCCCTGTACGCGCCGGCTCCCAGCAGGAACGCAAGCTCTTTTCTGTTTATCGGCACGTGTTCGCAGTGCAGGGCGATGGCGTCGGCTGCAGGAGCTGGTGCATGGCCTCCACACCGCGTGATTCCACTGTGCCCCTCCCCCGCCCCTCCCACCTGCCCCTGCGTCTCTCACCCCTCTTCCCATCTCCAGCAGCTCTGGCTCCACTTTCCACTTGTTTTTTGTTTGCTTCCTCCTCCATCCCTTGTTCCCTTTTCCTTTTGAAAATGGTCACCACTCCTGTCATCTGTCTCTGCTTTGCCCCTCGTGTACATCAAGGTTCTCGTGTAAGAGGAATCAGGTGCCATGTAAGCTTGCATGTCTGATTTACTCACCTAAGTTGTGTCATTATTCAGTGTCACAAACATATACCAATAGAAAAAGAATAGGAACTAGAATAAAAGGAAACCTGTCATTTCAAATTTAACAAGTAGAAAATTTCTGATTCTCAGACTTTAGTACCAAAACTTGTTCAAATATTGTTGTATTGTAATCTTGTAGACCAGTTTTATTTTCTTCAGTGAAACGTTTTTATGTATATCACACTTCAATATCATTGAAAAAAGTTTCCTTTGAAATGAAAACCAGAAGATGCTGACCTTGATACTAAAGAGAATTAAAGATATAGAAATTTTATTGAGATCTCCTATTTATGTGATAAACAAGCTAAGCAATTTAATTTCAGTTGATAATAACTGTTAACTTTTCAAACTGGTCAGCAGAACCTTGGCTCAGGCAGGTGCTGTGGTGGTGCATGCTTATATCCCAGCACTCAGAGGCTAAGGTAGGAGGATCACCCAGAGTGCGAGGTTAGCCTGGGCTTCATAGTGAGTTCAAGGCCAGCCAGAACTGCACAGTGAGACCCTGTCTCCAAAAATAAACAAACACACAGACAAGCCAATTGCATAAACACATTTCACCGAGCCTATTCAGTAGCCCTCTTTTTTTTTTTTCCTCCTGGGCGCTGGGGTTTATTTCACAACAGAACCAATGGGAACCTGGCCTGAGGTGCACACAGGGCTCCAGACTGGTGGGACACAAGGTGACAAGCATGACGATCACAGCTGGGGTCAAGGGCTCCGGGCGGCCCTGATGGCATCTACAGAAGCAGTGGCAGGAGGGGACCTAACTACCTGGGCCTGAGGCCCAGGCTCTGGCTTGCCGCAGCCTATTTGCTCAGGGGGATTCTGGAGTTCCGGCCGGCGAACTTGGCCTTGCTACCCAGCTCCTCCTTGA